CGTAAACCCAAAAGTGAATGCTTCGGTTTTCGAACACATGCCACGCGGCTTCCGCTGAGTGCAAGATCCTGAGGTCTAGCTGTCAGCTGTTGAGTTTTCGGTTTTTGAACATTTCAGAACTCAAACGGTCTTCCGGAACGGACTACATTTGAAACCTGAGGTACCACTGTACATGCCTACTCATGTACTGGGCAATATTTTCATGAAACATCTGCTCCCTTGTAACACTAGATCAGCTTAACTCCAGTAATATTCACAGAACCAATAACAGCTCTTTAAATTCAAATTAATACTTTAATATACTGTACTATCATTGGCAAAGTTTTTTTCTGTTCCCAAAACAACTTCTGTGTGCCCTATAGCAAAGTTATCTTAACTACATAATTTTTTTAATTACTTTTAGCATAATAAAATTAATAGTTTTAATAATCAAGATATATATTGGCATGGCTTTTATGTTATTTCCTGTATATATGTGTGTGTGTGTGTGTGTGTGTACTTTTATGATTAAAACAATGAATGCAATCCTATGCATTTTTTCTCAAAACGTTAGTCCCACTCAACTCAAATGGTACTTACTACTGAATTTGTATATAGAGGATTGCAGCCTAAGACACTGAAAATTGTTTATGAGCATTTTTTTTTGTAGAAGGCGTATGTGTCTATAAATAATAGTTTGGTGTCAATACATTTTCCCCATCACAGCTGTTTGGGCTGCTTTGCTGACAGGGGAGAGAAAATGAATATATTATCTCACAGTTTCAGCTTGATGGGATTTAACAAATTTGCCCATCTCTGTTTCAAAATCAGAGGGAGACATGGTTCATCTTTAAAAATCTATTTGCTCATATATCCAGAACCATTCCTTTAAAAAAAATGCTGTTTATGTATTAGCATCTAATCTACAAATACTAAACTGTTTCTGTTATTATTGAACTACATGATCCTCCCTCTGAAAACAAGAGCTGTTTTGTAAATGGGTTTTTGGTAGACGTAAGCAACAAAGCAAGTAATCTGGTTTGCGTATTTTTGCTGTTTCATTGTGTTCCGAGTCTGAAGCTCAGTAAGATTTTGATCCTAATCCACCTTACGCAGAAATGAGTTTTAAAAGGGAAAAGGGGGGAAAATTGAGCACGCCACCTAATTTCATAATATGCAAATCAGTCCTTACTTCTAATGCATACGTTTTTCTGGAACTCATAGACAAAGTTCTCCATTTTAAAAGCACACATGCCATAATCCCTTTATTGACAATAATTTAAGTAATGTGGTAATGTTCACATCTGAGCTTTCAGAAGTCTTCTCAAGCCATTTCACAAAATCATATTCTGGGAGGTGGGGATCATTCTAACTACAGTATAAATGATACATAATTGAATCTAGAATACGTTAAATCAGTCATGCCAATTCCTTCATATTTCAAAAGCTAACAATCCATTATCTTTCTTGAGTTTGCTTGAGTGAAAGGGAGAAAAGCAAGCCTTCATCACTACAGAAAGAATCCCAAGAAGCTCTAAATTTATGTTTTGAATTTAGTATATTTTATAGTTTTATTTTGTAAGCTGCTTTGAGACCCAGCTGCAGTGGAATACAGAACAATATCTATAAACATGGAAAGAGAGAGACATCTTTTGAACTGACAACTGAGTTATGACACCTGAGCATTTTGTCTGATAGATGCAGCTAAAATTAGTGAACAGTTCAAAAAAAGAGAAAGCATGACAGGTGTTGTGGGTCTGTGTACTGGAACCCTCATAAAAAATCATAGACCTCTAAGACTTGAAGCCTGCTAGTATAGTGGAAGACCTGGGTATACAAGTTTGCCATCAGAGTCTCCTGAAAACCTGGTTAGGATCATAGAACATATCCTTCAAAACCACTTATGGAAGGCATGCAATTGGCATCAAATGCAAAAAAATTAAAAAAAGAATCATGTTCCTTGCAAATAGTGTGTTGCCATATGGTAAAAAATAACACCCTTGTTTTACATTCCAAGGGCATGTCTCCTCCCATTTCAGACAACTGACATTCACATTTTTATTTTTATTTTTATTTACACCCTTAGGATTTGTTTCAAGGAATAAAATAACCCTTAATGTTATCGTTTAGCCTTTGGTACATAAAGCTTCTTTGGAAAAATAGTAAATTGTCAAATATCCATCACTATCTATTTAATCATGAATGAGTCACTTCTTTCTGAGAATATCCTGTCATTCCATCTGTATTTGATTCCGTAAGTTAATTCAAGATTTTTTCACTGGTCTGTAGGTTAACATTTGGAATAACTAGTGTATGAATGGTGTACTTCCCAGCAGAACTTGGAAACAACCTTTTTCGGGCTCCCTTGCATCGCATAACAAACCTCTATTGGCTTGTCTTCAGGTGTTATATTGTTCCCTCCACTCCAAGTCAAACTTAATAGACTGTCTGACCAGTGAAAATAATGTGATCACCATCCCTGTTACAGAGGCTCGTGTGTCGAACAACCTGTAAGACTTGCAAGGAACATTTCCATTTCCACCTAAATGCGCTATGGGCAGACGTGTTCCAAGAAATAAAAGGGCAAGACACAGAAAATACTCATTATAACCTTTTCCAGATGTCACAAAGAATGTCAACACTTCAATGAATAAGGCCCGAATTAGAACAGAAAACAAGGCAGATACCAGTAAATATTTGTGTCGGGCAATCATTTCATAATTTGGAAATTCAGACTAAAAGGGAAGAGAATTTGGGAGCCTGACTTCCACTTGTTACACACTACTTGAAATTGTCTATGACAGTTGAAGACTTTTGTTCACCGGTGAACAAACACTGTTTTTTTCAATATACAGGAGGAAGAGAATGAGACTGTTTCTTTTCTACCACTGGGAGAACAGGGTTTCCCTCACTGCCAGTGGAACCACACTCCAGCTAGCTCCCCTTCTCACTGATTATGAACAAGGTGGCAGAACGATTGATCCACATAGCAGGTGGCAGAATGATTGATCCAGATAGACCTGATTCTGCATTTCCTGCTGGTGCAACCACATAGAGAACAGACACTGCATGGATTGCTACCAAGCTTCATGTGTCTGGTTGTAGTCTAAAGAAGTCAGAGAGGATATTCACATTGCAATCAACACAGTTTTTTTGGTAACACAGATCCTAAATCTGCCTGGCGATCATGCCATGATAGATAATCCATTCTTCTAAATCCCTGGACATCAAGGAGTGGAAATAATTATATATATCAGGGATGTCCAACTCCCAAGAGACTGCGATCTACTCACAGAATAAAAAACTGGCAATGATCTACCCATTGGGAGGGGGGGTCAGGTCAAAGTTGTTGAGCTTTTTTAGATGCTGACTCCCATATATATCCAGCTTCTTATATCCCATGCAAAGAAGAATTTGGTTATAATCTCTTTGCACTCTTCAGTTGTTCCATTAATATGCTGTTCTGATTTATCATAATCTTAAAACCAGAGGGTTATTAGCATTGGGATATCCCATTCTAACAGTAATTGACCAGATCCATGAGATGAATAGTATCAAATATTCATCATATACCAAATTATGAATCAGTCCATTTGCTGCCATTCCTCTTGTCCATGTGATTTGTTTGATGAAGACTGCTAATGGTTCCAATAATAGATTGCAAACAATGGCCATTCCTGTCTGATTCCTCTATTTTAATTAAAAGCAGGTGGGTCTATCCCATAAATCTTTCCTGTAGCTGACAATTATAGCATGTTGGTTTTATACATATTTCTATTCTTTTTTATTTCTACACCAAATGGAAAATTGTAAACATCACTGCTTGGAACATTGAATGGAACAACAGTAAACCAGTATTATTGCTATCACCATCATCAGGGCTCCCTTTTGCACTGTGCAGTTCCAACATCTGTCAGTATTTCTTTGTTAATCTGTGTTTCGGAATATTGTTATTCATCCAAAAATGTATTGTTTGAACTGATACCTAGAATAAGGGTTTTCCATTTGGAAATAGTCCTTTTTCCATCCAACTTCAAAAGCAGTGCAAGATATAACCCTACTTTAAACATATAGGAACATAAGAAATGGTCATCTCAAGACGTTTGTCTCTTGTCACAAAAAGAAAGGAATTGGACAAAGACTTAAGGACAAAAATAAGCTTCAAATGCCATGAAATATTTCTGACTCCCACTGATGATTCAGCTTCTGGTTAAGTTTTAAAATTAGACGCAGACTTCTGCAAGGAAGCGATTATAATTTTATCACTTTCATAAACTATTCCCTTCCCACCCCACATACTCAACTAGAGCCAGGGCTTTCTCGGCTGCGGCTCCAATCTGGTGGAACGCTCTGTCACAAGAGACTAGGGCCCTGCGGGACCTGACATCTTTCCGCAAGGCCTGCAAGACAGAGTTGTTCCACCAGGCCTTTGGTCAGGGCCCAGCCTGACTCCCACCTCTGGCAACCTGCACAGAACTTTGCTTAACGGTTGCCATTAATTTGATTTTAATTAATTTTTATAATGAAATGTTTTAGAATGTTGGATTATTTGATTGTTTGATTATTTGTTTGTTGTTAGCCGCCCTGAGCCTGGCTTTGGCTGGGGAGGGCGGGATATAAATAAAATTTATTATTATTATTATTATTATTATACACACACATGCTAACACTGGTGGGGGTTTTCTCCTCACACACCCATTTTCAATTCTCCCAAATGCATCAACAACAAAGCTGCATTAACACAAATGAAAGAGAAAAGAAACCAATCACAAAACTAATATCATTTCTTTATTACACTTTTGCCTTTTGATCATTTATTTATTTAGCTCGCTTATTTTTTTTAAAAAATGTTTATCCTGCTTTTCATCATACAGGCCTTGAAGCAGCTTGCAACAATAAAATATGCAAGATACAAAGTTTAAAACATTAATTAATCCTCCACAATGTAAAATCTCCATGAGAAAGCACTTTCAGGTTCATGACACAATTCCACTTTGTGTGGGCCATCGCTCAGTACTGTGAGTGATGTAGCTCAGTGGCAGAACATCTGCTTTGCATACCAGAGGTCTCAGGTTCAATTCCTGGTGTTTCCAGGTAGGGGTAGAAAATATTTCTTGCCTGAAATCCTGGAAAGCTGCTGTCAGTCAGTGTCGACAATACTGAGCTAGATGGACAAATGCTTTGACTCAGTCTAAGGTCATGCTTATTTAACTTATATGCAGAATTCATCATGCGAAAGGCTGGGCTGGATGAATCCCTAGCCGGAATTAAGATTGCCGGAAGAAATATTAACAACCTCAAATATGCAGATGACACAATTTTGAAGGCAGAAAGTGAGGAGGAATTAAAGAACCTCTTAATGAGGGTGAAAGAGGAGAGCGCAAAATGTGGTCTGAATCTCAACATCAAAAAAATGAAGATCATGGCCACTGGGCCCATCACCTCCTGGCAAATAGAAGGGGAAGAAATGGAGGCAGTGAGAGATTTTGCTTTCTTGGGCTCCATGATCACTGCAGATGGTGACAGCAGCCATGAAATTAAAAGACGCCTGCTCCTTGGGAGAAAGGCGATGGCAAACCTAGACAGCATCTTAAAAAGCAGAGACATCACCTTGCCAACAAAGGTTCGTATAGTTAAAGCCATGGTTTTCCCAGTAGTGATGTATGGAAGTGAGAGCTGGACCATAAAGAAGGTTGATCACTGAAGAATTGATGCTTTTGAAGGAGGAGACTCTTGAGAGTCCCATGGACTGCAAGAAGATCAAACGTATCCATTCTTAAGGAAATCAGCCCTGAGTGCTCACTGGAAGGATAGATCGTGAAGCTGAGGCTCCAATACTTTGGCCACCTCATGAGAAGAGAAGACTCCCTGGAAAAGACCCTGATGTTGGGAAAGATGGAGGACACAAGGAGAAGGGGATGACAGAGGACGAAATGGTTGGATAGTGTTCTCGAAGCTACCAGCATGAGTTTGACCAAACTGCGGGAGGCAGTGGAAGATAGGAGTGCCTGGCGTGCTCTGGTCCATGGGGTCACGAAGAGTCGGACACGACTAAACGACTAGGTCATATGGTCCTATTCATCTTTTCTACTGTGTCCACATCTCCAACCTCCATTGTTTTTCTGCCATGGCTGTCTTTTATCATCTTGTTGTTCCGTACCTTCTACATCATCTTAGGTTATATACTTTAAATATACAATAAACTAACTATAACTCCCCATCAGAGCTGGAAACTTTACAAAACATTAAGTGCTCAGTGCTTTTTCAATGGTACTACTAAAATAAAAACAAAAACAAATCTGCTTGGTTTTTCAAACAGCTCTTTCTCTGCACCCATAATGCTTGCTAGTTCTATGTTTCAGTGGCAGATACTGGATGCTCAGCAGTTTTGGGAATCCCTTGATTATTTTAATGAGAGTTGAAAGCTTTGAAAATCTGGCTCTGATTTAGGAGTGCTAAGCAGTTTGAAACCCCCAAGTCTTGCTCCACCTGGCTTTCCCTTTGATGGAAGAGTTTAACTGAGTTTTAGACACACCTGTCCAGTTTTAGCGCACTGAGAATTGCTGTTAAAATTCTGGATTCTGCAAGAACTGCAGCTGCTTTATTTTCCTGACAAGGTCTGTGTGTTTCTAACACAGCAGTTAATGAGATCCAGGAAATCTGTGAGATTGCCAGGGCTGGCTGAGAATGCCAAAAGCCCATAAAAATCTCCGTGACATAAAGCAGGAAAGCAGGAGCTTCAGTCCTCCCAGAGGCCACTGCAACCTAAGGACTTGGAAGAGGCTGGTCCCGAGTCCTAGGTCAGCATGGTTGGGCCTCTGCCTAGGGATAGGCAAATTTGTCAGTTTCGGTTTCTCTCAGCCTCTCATTTTTCCAGTCATAGGTTCCATTCATTTTCACATCAGTTTGCAAATTTATTTAATTTTAAGGATGTCCTCATGAAAATTCCCTCAGCATTTTAGTGCAAAGTTCTCCAAAAATACACATGTTTGTGCTATTTTTCTTATAATACACATTTTTTGCAAGCATATGCATTTCTTTACACATTACTTGGCGGAAGAACTGCTTTGCAAAATTTGGAGAAGCGCATATTTCAAAAGATGGCTACATTTCAGTTTGTGCATTGTTTCAGTTTGAATTAGATAGGTCCACTTTTCAGTGTGAACTGAATTTCTTCCCTGTCCTTACAAGGGCCCACTGACAAGAGTCCTGTAGACCTGCCCCTCCTGTGAACCATTCCAGTCTGTTTGCTCACTCTGGCTCAGACAATGGTGGTACAGTAGACAAAGGAGAAGCAGTAGCAGCCACTGCCGCATTAGTCCTTGGCTCCATATTCAAGCCAACAGGTGGTATTCATGATGAGGGACAGAAGTATATGTGATCATGACTGGTGAGGAGCAATTCATGTTGCAGGATGGGGGAGGCCTCATAAAGAATGTCTTGACCAGTGGTCCTCCAAAAGCTTGAGTTGGCTTGGGGAAGAGGGGCAAGAATGTTACTTACGTGGTAGCACCCCCATGTCAGAAGCTCCCAGCAGTTTCTTCACACAGGAAGGTTTTGATCTGAGGAGCTTTCTCACCCTATTCTGAAATGGCATAGTTCCTCAAGAGGATTTTTGAACTGGTTCTTAATTGTACTTTGAACATTCCTGCTGAACGTGGCCACACCAGTTCTCAAATGACAGGAGAAATATGTAGTGATATCACTGAAGTTCACATTTCCATGGCTCAGGGATGTGAACTTGTTCAGTTAATAATCCTTAACTACATTATGAATCAAGCAACATTGCCCTGGAAAGTTTTGATTTTAAACCAGGTTTTTGTTTTCCTTCCCCAATAACCCTAAATGCTACACTAGTGCCAAAGATTTTGGGAAATGTAGTTTTGCTGAGTGCCTGAATTCTCCCTATGAGTATCAGAAGCCAGGGAAATGACATAACCCAGGATTCCTTGCATGTATGACACATTGCAGTGTTAAAGATGCCGTTGCAGTCTTATGGAAAGCAGGATGACCTCTCTGTCACTGTGGGAAGACAGAATCCATTGAAATCCTGGTGGTGGTATCAAGAACACCATGGTGTCTGGGTTTAGGAACTGGACTTGGAGTAAGAGGAGCTTGCCTTTACCTGTTGTCCTGAGTCCGACTTTGCTAAGCTCTTTTCCCATGCCACTCCAGTCACATCAGAAAGTGAGCTCACATAGAATGGAGTTGATGATATTGCTATTTCCCATGACATAAGAACAAGCACTTAATTCCTTTGTCTTAAGGAATATTAAAACACCTGAAAAAATGGCTTGAGAATGAAAAACCATTTCACTCTTTTTGTTGGCATATTGTTCATCGCTAACTCACATGTTCGCTTTTCTCAGAAGAGTTTCAAGAGTATCCAAAGCTATTTCATAATCTCTGAAATTTTCTGTGTTTGGTTTGAGCATCATGACATGATTGTTTAGAGCAGTGACCCAAAAATGCATTTTGGGGTAGTTATGGCAAGATGAGAAAAGCATTCTTTCCTGTTTGATCTTCTTTGAAAGTTTGTGCTAAGAAATCATAAGTAGCTAAAACTAGAAACTTGTTATCTTTGGCTTGCTTTGAAAACTATGTTGCAATATAAAATGTAGAGAAGTTTGAAAGACCAAAAAAAAAACTATAAAAGCTGTATGTGTTTTAAAATATCCATTTAATATGTCTGTAAAATGTGCCCACTGTTAAAATGATGTTAGGTCAAAATCATGCCCACTTTCGTTTCTTTGTGCATACTTCATATGTGAAGCACTACTTTAAAAAATAGAAACTGGAAACAGGCTAAGAAGCAGTCAGACAAGAAATAAACTAAAAGAAAAAGAAGTCAGAAAAGAGGATAAAACTGCAATCCTCTTCTCAATGGACTCTTCAGCAAGAAAATCAAGAGAGTATGATGATCTGACTATATCTCATATTGTTAACCTTATCACAAGAAATGGTCCCACCCAAATTTTCAGGGTTTACATGCCCTTTCTGGTAATGATCACCCAAATAGACTGGGGACCATAATGCTGGAAAATCAGGGCTGATATATTCCTCCATGATGCAAACCCCGTACAATCCACATGTATGAAGATCACGGACATCAGTTTTCCAGTACACGTGAATGTGATGTTCATGCCTTGGGTTGGGGAAGACAGTCAACAGGGTTCTAATCAGGTATCCCCAGTGAAAACAATTCCCACACAGCAATCTACATATGAATTATATGGCATTTCCGACACAGAAAATTGTCCTCCACCTCAGATGGGGAGGTTCTCAATGTAGGGAGGTTCTCAAGGTACAGGTCACAAGAACATCAGCTCCACGGTGACACATCTACTTGTGATGCTGTACCAGGCGTTACCCACCAACAGACGATGTTCCACCAGCACAATAGTGTGGGTTGGTGTTCCTGCTGTATTTATCCCCTTCCACATCCATAAAGCGTGCCAAAAAATTTAAATAACTTTTGTGGCAAGCAGACAAATTAATAGAAACCTCCCACTTGTTACCTTTTGTCCCATATTAACCAAATGGCTAACCCCTCCTTTGCCGCAATTTTACTAAGCTCTCTCTCCTCCACTTGGTGTGCAGCATATCAGATGTGGTGTACCTGTAATGAAATGTGTAGGCTGAAGGGAGACCTGGTGAACATGAGCCAGGAGAGGGACTCAGGATGCTCTAATGCACACCTGCGTTCTCCCAACCGATTTATATTTAGCATCATACGTATCCACAGGATGGAGCAGCCACAGTTCCTTGATCAGCATTATGGTCTTTACTATACAAAGCAAAGCTTGTGCATTATTATTTTTTAAATGATATTTATTAAGAATTTTAGAATTACAGGGAAAAAAAGGGAAAAAAAGAAAAAAAAGGAAAAACAAACCACAATCCAACAATACAAATTGATAAAAATCAAAATCAAAAAATAACACAACACAATCAAAAGACAAAAATAAGCCACAAACATTTTAAAAACAAATCCAATCTTCTCGAATCCTTAACTGTCATTACCTTCTTTCTTTGACCTCCTCACTCCTCCCTTTTTTTGTATCCTAGTTGTTAATTGTCACAGCAAATCCTT